TTTTTGTGGTCTCACTTGACTATCCATTGATTGATTTATTTTCAGACAAAACTTTCAACAGATTTTAGTGCAGTATAGGAATGTGATTAAATTATCAAGCTGTTAATTATAATTAGCTCTTGGAATATTTGAAGTAGGTTTTATTTAACAAAGCATCGTTCATGTTGCATCATTTGATTATTAATTTTCTGACTAATGCCATAGTTTACTGAATAAACCAGTTTATCTCCTTTCTCTTCTTCATGATACTAGCTTAGAGAATTATGGAGGTATTTCCTGTTTGCTTATTGGGGCCAGATTCAATGCAAGTCGATCTGGCATTTGTATCATGGAGCTTAGATCATGCAAGGCTACATAAACACCCCACACTTCTGATTTTTTGGAGAGCACTGTCGTGTGTGAGGAAGAGGGAATAAGCAGATTTTGCAGCATGGAGGTAAAACTGCATTTCTGTTATGAAGCTATATCAGAGGTATGGGAGTAAAAGCTTAAAGTGGAGCTGGTTAATTAACAAAAATGTAATTTTTGTAAAATGTTCAGGAAAATGTCAAGACATCCAATTAAAGTTGGTTTAATTTGTAAAATTTGATGATTTTTCAATTATCTCCAACTCTGAGGTGGTTTCCAAGGTAAGACTAATTTGATTCCTCCAAAATAACTATAATAGCACTAGTAATTACAATAATTCCCTTTTTTCCTTGACAATTCATGTTCATTTTTTTGGCATGGGGGCCTTTTGGGTTGCACTTGGCAATGATTAGGCAGGCAACTTTCTTCAATATTATGGTCTAAATCAGTGTTACTCAAACATTTTTGGCCCCACAGGCCAAATCAGTGGTGTAGGACTCATCTGTGGGCTGGATTGGATCCTGGAAGCAGGCACTAGCTCCTTCCTGCTCAGTGCGCCACGATTGGAACCTAGTGACCTGGTACTCCCTCTTTCACCCTCTGCATGAATGATGCATGCCCCTGGCAGCTGGGGGGGCACAGTGGCGGCGGGAGTGCAGTGGCGGTAAGCGGGAGCTCCCATAGACACTGCCAGCACTGTGGGTGGCGGGGAGGTGGTGTTGGTGAGCGCTTACCAGGGATTGGCAACCGCTTGCAGATGCCGTCGGCAGTGGCCAGTGGGGATTGCTGACCACTCACAGGTGCTGCCACTGGTGTCGGCGTTGGGGGGTGGTGGTGAGTGGCAACTGCCTGCAGGTGCCATCAACAGTATCGGGGGTGCACTGCCACACTCAGGGGGTGCACATGCACCACCTATGCATCACCCCAATGCTCTGTGCACTGGGATTGGGTCCTGGGGGGCCAGCACTTCATAGATTTCATAGACATTAGGACTGGAAGGGACCTCAGGAGATCATTGAGTCCAGCCCCCTGTCCCAATGGCAGGAAGTCAGCTTAGGGTCAAAGGATCCAAGCGAGATAAGCGTCCAAATACTTCTTAAAGGAGTCCAGAGTAGGTCCTTGCACCACCTTTGGAGGGAGTCTATTTCAGGCCTTGGGGGCTCGGACAGTAAAGAAATCCTTCCTTATGTCCAGCCTAAAACGGTCTTGGAGCAGTTTGTGAACATTGGACCTTGTCATCCCTTGGGGTGCTTTGGTGAACAGGTGTTCCCCCAGATCCTGATGCAAACCCCTGATGTACTCATAGGCTGCCACCAGGTCACCCCTGAGCCTGCGCTTTTCCAGGCTGAACAGTCCCATGGCGCTCAGCCTTTCTTCATAAGGCTTAGTTTCTTACCCTCTGATCATGTGTGTGGAACTCGTCTGGACTCTCTCAAGCTTCTCCACATCCTTCTTGAATTGTGGAGCCCAGAACTGGATGCAGTACTCCAGCTGCGGCTTCACCAAGGCCAAGTACAGCGGGAGGTGACATCCTCAGATTTACTTGAGAAGCATCTATGGATGCAAGCCAGAGTTTTGTTTGCTTTACCAGCTGTGACATCACATTGGTGGCTCATGTTCATCTTGTGGTCAATAATGACCCCTAAGTCTCTTTCGGCCATGGTGCTAGCGAGTGTAGCACTGCTGAGCCTATTAGTGTGCTGCAGGTTTTTTCCCCAAGGTGGAGTACCCTACATTTATCGGTGTTGAATGTCATCAGGTTTGTATCTGCCCTCTTTTTTGAGCCTGTCCAAGTCAGCCTGGATCACCAGCCTATCCTCAGGTGTGGATGCTCTACCCCAAATTTTGGTGTCATAGACAAACTTGGCCATTCCACTTCTGACACGAGTATCCACATGGTTGATAAAGATGTTAAAGAGAACAGGTCCAAGGATGGAGCATCAGGGGACACCACTGGTCACGGAGCGCCATAATGATTCACTTCCGTCGACCACCACCCTCTGAGTCTGGTTTCAGAGCCAAATCCCCAGCCATTGACTGTGATGTAGCCAAGGCTGCAGTTGGCCAGCTTTTCCAAGAGGAGATCGTGGGACACCAGATCAAAAGCTTTTTTCAAGTCCAGATATATGATGTCAGTCTCTTCTCCCTTGTCCAGGCGATATGTCACCTGGTCATAGAAGGAGATGAGATTGGTCAGGAAAGACCTACCTGCAACAAACCCGTGCTGGCTGTCTGTCAGGATGTTGCCCTCAACCAGCTTATCAAGAATGGTCTCTTTGATAATTTTTTCCAGAACCTTTCCAGGGATTGAGGTTGGTCAGGCTGATTGGCCTGTAGTTCCCTGGATCTACCTTCCTCCCTCTCTTGAAGATGGGTACCACATTGGCCTTCTTCCGTCTTCAGGTACTTCACCTGAGTGCCAGGAGTTTTCGAATATCTTTGCCAGTGGCTGGGCTATGACTCCTGCCAGCTCCTTAAGTACTTTGGGGTGCAATCTGTCAGGACCCGCTGACTTGAAGGTGTCCAGCCTCTCAAGGTGTTCCTTTACAAGGTCTACACTGATGCTGAGTATAAATTCACACTCACCCTGGCTGTCCCTCATCATGCTAGGTATTGTGGTCCCTTTGGGTTGATGAAAAACAGATGCAAAGTACCCCCTTGGGGCCTTGACAACAAGCCTCCTGAGCTTATCAAAGTCAGCTTTCCTAAAGTCGAGGACCTCTGCATTGCTGACTGACTTGCCAGCTTTGCGATGGATAGTAAAAGTGATCAGCTCATGGACACTGTCTCCCAGCTTTCCTTCATTTTTTTTCTTTTTAGGTTGGCTAGCGGGCTTGTATTGGTGGTTGTCCACCCATCCCCCGGTGGGCTTAGTTTAAAGCCCGGTCAAGCAGGTCAGCCATTCTGGCTAAGAAGAGCTTCCTCCCCAGTGAAGTGAGGTCTCCCCAGCAGACTGCTGCCTCTCTCGCCAAAGAACAGATTGTGATCGTGGAAGCCGAAGCCTTCATGATAACATCAGCGCTGCAGTCTTCAGTTGACTACCTCAGTCCATCTCTCCCTCCTCAGCTCATGACCCAAAACCGGGAGGATCAAGGAAAATACTACTTATGCCCCTAAGCCCCGCTCCCAGAGCCTTGTAGCCATTCATGACCTGGCTGGGATTGCTCCAAGCCATGTCATTCGTGCCCACATGGATAAGGAGCATAGGGCAGTGGTTGGAGGGCCAGATAAGCTTTGGGATACTCTCTGCTACATCCTGGATATTACCGTCCTCAGCTCCTCTCAGCTGCCTCCCTGCAGCTGGGCTAAGTCCCTCCCGCCACCGGCCCCTGCTTACCTCTGGGTAGGCCAGGGCTCGTCAGGGGGTCCTTGGGATCTTCTTGGGGGTCCCGGGGCTCACACAGGCACAACGGGCTTCCACCCGCACATCTCTTGCCAGAGCCAGGGACCAAGCACGGCTTCTGCTGGTGCCAGGCCCTTTTTAAACTGCGTGCATGAGCAGAAGGGCCCGTTGGTGCTGCGCTGCTCTCAGTGGGCTAGGGGGTCCCTCCCCCCACCGAAGGAGGGGACAGGTGAGTGTCGTCGTTCCCCCCCCCCCACTTTCCTGACTCTCGCGCCAGGTGGCTCCAGGACTTCCTTCCTCTCTTCTCCCCTTGTGCTGTGATTGGGGCCTGGTGCTGCCCCCACCTGGCCCTGCACACTGGGATCCAGTCTGCAGGGCTCAGGGCTATCCATGGGTCCAGAGATTGGGCATCAGGAAAGGAGTGCAACCACACCCCTACTGTTAGTACCACTGTCTCCAAATAGTGCTAAGGGATCATTAAATCACAATTAACCCTTAAATGGAATGTGAAATATGAACACAGACAACTCAGTGTCCTAAAATCAAAGTCTAACTTTATTAGTACAACAAGTATTATTTTAGCAGTTTCTATATTCAGAGAGGGAGAAACATTCAGTACAATAATCTCACCCAATCCCAGATGTTACTATCTCAACAGAAAGATGGCCAATCAGTTCCTGGAAACAAAGGGTACATTATGGGCTGGGACAGTCCAGACGGGTGTTGAAGGCTGGCTTTATGATGATGATGATGACTAACTTTCTTGCTGCCCCCTTTTATGCTTTTCTTCACCTTCACTCATTTGATGACTCTACTTTTGAATTGGTCTCTCTGCTCAGCATACTGTCCCTCTTTTGTCCTGTCAGCACATTCCTTTGTTCAACAGACCCATCGCAAACACACCTTAATTTGGCCTTTTTCTGGTGTTTTGCTTTGGGCATTGTCCATTGGTATCCCTTTATCACCTTTCATTAACGCATCCAATCCTGTCATCCCTCTGATTCAGCTGGTTAGTGCCAAGTTCAGTTAATTTGAGCTGGTACCAATGCCATTAATGTGTTATGTTAGAAAAACTTCTCACAGTGATAAAAAAGAAAAGATATAATATAATGAGCACTATAGGTTCTACAAAAACAACTCAAGGCCAGCTAATAAAAAAAAAAGTTAATAAGGCTATATAAAACTTAAGCAATGATTAAACAAGGGTAAATAAACAATACTATAATTCACCACTCTATAAGCAGGTCCAACTTTGAAGTATAAAATATGACAGGCTACCCTTACACCTACCACCACATTTTGGGACCTACGGGGATCCCCATGGACCAGATGACATGCCACTGCAGATTGCATCTAGCCTGCAGATTGGAAACTGAGCACCCCTGGCTTTAGTAGTTTCCTTCTGGTCAGGTGAGTCTGCTCTCCATTTAGCTGAATTGGCGTCTTATATTGCTATTCAGAAAAGCAGAGCTAAGGGGGAGAAAGGAGAATAAACCAAAGCAAGGGAAATGACATATACTTAAAAATCAAATGCAAAATGTTATGCAAGCAGTTGCTCCTCTGGTCATCTTTGGGAATATACCAGATTGTCTTGAATTCCAGGAGAAACATCAAGGGAACTATTGTTGCAGTTAAAAATCAAATTTTTAACTTTGTGCTTTAAGAATTGACACAACACTCAGTTGATGAATAGCAGAGAGGCTTGCTTTAATAACTACCAACAAGTTACAAAACTAAATAACAGAAAAAGACTCTTTCCTAATATAAAACAAGCTATTAGTCCTTAGTACTATCTTAGCTGCGCAGATATCTTTAATATAAAACGAGATGTTAATCCTTGTATTATTTTAGCTGCAAAGAGAACTTTATCCAGTGCAGGCAGGAAGCAGTTCTTGTACAGCCTCACAGGGCAGATCTTTTACTTGTGGCTGGGTGGTACAGGATTGGTTCTTGATCTTCCCTGGAATGCACACACCTTGCTGGCAGTTCTGTCTTGCTTTTTATACTGTTTTAATTGTATAGCTTCAAAGCATTCCTTCTTGATAGTTGGTTAATCAAAGTCGGAACAAAGCAGGCTAGGACAGAATTAACATATTACAGTTGTACCCTGTTTGTGTGTTTCTGAACTTTCCAAACTGATTTTGGAATCAAATGGGATGGGTATTAATTGAATGAGGTACCTTAGGAAGCTGATCCAGAATACTATTTTCCAGTAGTTACTTTAACAATGGAGCCTAATAAATAGCTACATCAAATGGCTTATGGAGATGGTGAAGATCAGAGACCACTGGATATAATAGGTGTGTGTTTCAGGAAAATATACTGGTATAGCATAATAAACATTTAAAAATTAACTGTCTATTTTGAGAAATTAATAAATGCAAATGTGAGACAGTGAGAATCAGACAATAGGTGTAAGGTAGGATAGATGCAGTCACATAAACTGATTTAGCATAATAACATTTAAAACTTCAGACAGATATTGGATATTTGCTGGAAACAGGTCTTAATTAAAGCGGAAATGTGTTGACCAGGATACTGGGTTTTTGGTTGTAGCCGTGTTGGTCTAAGGATATAAGCAGACAAAGTTCTTTGGGTAGATGTGATATCTTTCATTAGACCAACTGAGTAGGTGGAAAAACGTTCTTAGCAAGTTTTCGGGTGCAGTCATCCTTGTGCAGTCGCCCTTCATCAGGCATAGGGAGTCTGCTGTCCTGAGACTTCAAGGAATGAAGAGAAGCTAAAAGCATGGAGGGATGTTGGTGAAAATATAAATAGGTAAAGATAAGTAAGATGCAAGGAAAAGGAGGGAGGGGGAAGAGAGCAGGGGGAAAAAAAGTCAGACAGAGACAGCAGAGATAAAATACAAGGTGGAAAAGAGGCAGTCTGTGAAAAAGGGAATAGCTGGAGATCAGGAAAGCCAGAATGGGAGAAGCTAAAAATGTGACAGGATGTCAGTGAAAATAGAAAAGGGTAGCAGTAGGAAAACAAAAGGTAAAGCAAGGGAGGCAGGGGGAAGAAAACGGGACAAAAAGGCCAAAGGGAAACATTACAAAGGTAATAATACAAGGTAAAAAAGAGGCTAGCAATAAAAAGGAAATGGTAGGGAACCAGGAAGAAAAAGGGCAGAGAAGTGTGAGAGGGGAGGAGAGAGAGGGTGGGGGGTGGGAAAAAGGAATGTAAGAGGTCAGCTCAGGCAGGTACCATGTGAATCAGATGTCAGGCAGATGTTAACTAGGATATATTTACAGTCATGTTTTCAGTGAACCTTGGCTTTTCTAGTCTTTTACCGGCTTTGCTTTGAAGTAGGTATTTTAGTTCTTTTGTTTCCTTTAGTGACACTTAGCTCAATTGATATATAGATGTACTTTGTAGGTTTCTCCCCAGGCCACTTGACTTTCTGGCTTACTCCCTGAGTCATTACGCACATGTAATGAGTGCATCAGGTCTCTGCCAGTACTTTTAACCATCACTCATTTTTTTAGCTCAGGTGTGGTAGGAGGTTGATAATAATAACTGTTATTATGACTGTTATTATTTTATGGCAGGGGTCTCGTATTTGGTACTGCAAGCATTGTACTTTCTTTTATGCCAAATGGGTTGCAGGCCATTAGCAGAGTTTGATTTTCTTTGTGACAGGCTTGTTACCACAGTTCAGTCTTGCCCCAGCCACTGTCTTGCATTTTTGTGCAAGAGGCACTGTTCCAAGTTTTCATAGCTTTTATAGTCAGCAGTGATCATCTCACCAATATACTCCACACTTAAGACACTGATTTAGGAAGGTAATGAAGTGCGTGCTGAAGTTAAAGCGTGAGAGTCACTCCATTGACCTTCATAGGACTACAACGATTTCTCAGTGCATTCTAGACTATGCATTAGGGCTGTGCTAAGCTTCGGTAGCTGATTCGATTCAGAGGAAATTGCCCGATTTGGCGGCTGAATCTCTGAATCCAAATTGAATCCGGAGACTCATTAAAAGGTCTGAATCAAATCAGAAGCCTCCAAATCAATTTGGAGAGATTCAGCACCGATTCGGAGATTTGGCCATAGACTAAACAGGCAGCAGTCCTCGACCATACTGGACACAGCTGCCTACAGCTGGTAAATCTGTTATGGTGGGTGAAGTGGGGAAAGAAGGAGCATGGGGGGCACAGATCAACACCCCCACAGCGAGGGATGGGTTGGGGCTGGGACGAGCTGCCCAGTCAGGGCGGGGGAGCGTGGGATTCGGGGATGGGGGCTTCTGCCACTGTGTGCCACCATGCACTGCTGGTCCAGGAGGGCATGGGAGCAGGCATGTGCCCCTGGATCTGCGCAGGGCAGGCTGGGCTGGGCTGTGCTCCAGATGGGCGGTGGAGGGTGTGGCGGGCCAGTAGGGGGCACTCCTGCGTGCAGCCGCCCACCTCCCTGTGCCCGACCACCTTCCAGGCTCCGAGTGCCTCCTGTCCGGCCGACCCCTTCCCTGGAGCACACCCACTAGCCTGGGGTTCCCGCTGCCACCATCCAAGGCTCTGGACTCAGTTCTGGCTCTGCGCACCTTGGAGAACACAGGCCTGGTCGTCCAATGGGTACTAGACCCAATACAAGCACTTGGGGCACTTTCCCAAGTCAGGGGCTTATTAGGAAAGTCTCCCTTAGTCTGCAGACCTAAGGGGCCTCCTCGGCATAATTTAGACCCACCCCTCAATAAGTCTCCCACACCGGTCACAAAGGAGAACTTTATTGATTCAGGGGGTAGGGTGGAAACAGGGTAAAAGGTAGAGCAGTATCATAGGAATCTCAGAGGAATCTCAGAGGAATCCCCTAGAGCAAACCAGTATGGCTGAGGTAGCCGTTTAAACACGCATCTGAGTTACTGTAGGCTAAATATCTAGTCTGATCTCAAGTAGCTTACTCACACGCATCATCCAGAGGTGGCTGGAGTTTCCCTCTAGAGGCAGGTCGCTCTTGGAGCATGCGGTGATGAGGAGAGAGCCAGTTTCAAGATTCACCTGGATGACCGCATGGCTAATGGCTGCCCTTCTTCCTGGTCCAGGCCTTTTTAAACCCTCACTGACCTCAGCAGCCCGGTCCAATCGAAGCTGCCAATACTGGCCACAAGCCAACCAATCTACCAAGCATCCCTGGCTACCTGGGCCCGTGCGCAGGGCCGGGCCTTTTTCCCCCCTGCCCAGGTGACCAGAGCCTTTGTCATGCAGACAAGGTGGGAGATCCCCTCCCTGAGGGATTCAACACCAGCCTCTCACGCTGGCTGAGACAGATCTCTGGAGAGGGGCACAGACGGTGGCATTTCTGTCACAGAGGGCACTGGGCATGGGGGCTCTGGCCTGCTGCTGTTTGTCCAGCCGGGGTGGGGGGGCACAGGATGTGGGTACAGCAGCTCTGGGAGTGGGGGCTATGCCCTGCTGCCACTTGCCCAGCCAGAGTGGGAGTAGAGGGGCATGATGCAGGCATGGCTCACTCCGGGCAGAAGATGCTGGGAGTGCAGGCAATGCCCTCCTGCTGCTCACCCAGCTGAGGCAGGGAGTCATGGAACAGTGCCACTGCACTGCCTGAGACGAGCGGTGCGCAGTGGTGGAAGCCTCTCCAGCCTCCTTGCACCTCTTGGACAAGACGAGACTTTGCCCCACCACGCCCAGCTGGGCAAGCAGTGGCAGGCCATGGGGGTGGACGCGTGCAGCCATATCGGGGAGCAGCTGATGGCAGGGGCTATGGGGAATTTTAGGGTGGCTGCAGCCCCCCTAGCATAGCCCCTGCTCCATTGCGCTCTGGGGGGTGGGCGGAGTCAGGGTTGTGCTCTGGGCTGCGCCTGGGGCTAGCCCCCAGGAGTGCAGACCTGGCTCTGCCCACCCTGTGGAGCACAGCCCAACAGTGGGCGGCTGGGGCTAGCCTCTTGGAACCCAGCCCAGCCTGCCCTGCGCAGATCCGGGGGCACAAGCCCACTCCCATGTCCTCATGGACTGGCAGTGGACAGTGCTGGGAGCCGCCCTCCCTGTGTCCTGTGCTCCCCTGCTCCAGCTGGGCAGCTTGTCCCAGCCCCAATCCCTCCCTCACTGTGGGGCGTTGATCTGCACGTCCCTCCACCCACCACAACAGACTTACCATCTGGAGGCAGCTGTGTCCAGCATGGTTGAGGACTGCTGCCTGTTTAGTCTATGGCCAAAGGTCTGAATCGGTGCTAAATCTTCAAATCCAATTTGGCCGAATCAAATCGGGACAGAGACACAAATCACAAAATTGAATCACTGTCCCTTCGAACAAGGGACCAAATCTGAATAGAATACTTGCCACTTTGCACAGGCCTACCGGCATTATTTTCATTACTGCACCTACTAAGAAATTAACTTAGTGGTCACTGTCGCCCTGGGCGACAGTGACCACTGCCTGCTGGAATTCACCATTCAGCGCAAGGTGGCAAAAGCAAGCAGTCAGGCTGTGGCCCTAGATTTTAGGAGGGCGAACTTCAACGAGCTAAGGAGGATAGTTGGAGAAGCGCTGAAGTCTCAGAGGGGAGGAGAGCCGGGTGTTCAAGGGGAGTGGTCGCTCCTTAAGGAGACAATCCTCCAAGCCCAAAAGAAGGTAATCCCGACGAGGATCAAAGGGGGCAGGAGAGCATACAAGCCTCCATGGCTCACCAAAAACATCCGGGAATGTCTCCTTGCTAAAAAGGAGGCTTACTCCCAATGGAAAGGAGGGGTCATCCCCAAGGAGGACTATTCGGCAGTTGCTCGGGGGTGTAGGGGGGGGTAGTTAGGAAGGCCAAGAGAGATGGAACTGGGACTAGCTTCCCGGATTAAGGACAACAAGAAGTCCTTTTTTAAATACATAGGGAGTAAAAAGAAGGCCCCGGGTAATGTGGGGCCCTTGCAGGACGTGACAGGGAATCTGGTTGTCACACCAGATGACAAAGCCAACATATTTAATGATTTCTTTGCCTCTGTCTTCCTCAGTAAGGACCAGAACTGCCACCTCCCTGCTAGGCCCCCATCGGGCCCCAAGGGAGGCACACCTGAGCCCAGGGTAAGTGAGGATCTAGTTAGGAAGCTGCTGGAGGGGCTGGACGT